CTCCAAAGCGCCTGAAGGCAGGACAAGAAGCAACAGATGGAAACTAATCAAGGAGAGAAGCAACCTAGAACTTAGGAGAAACTTCCTGACAGTTAGAAGAATTAACCAGTGGAATAACCTGCCTCCAGAAGTGGTGAATGCTCCAATACTGGAAGATTTTAAGAAGAGACTGATCAGCCATTTGTCTGAAATGGTATAGGGTTTCCTGCCTGAGTAGAGGGTTGGACTTGATGAACTCCAAGGTCCCTTCCAACTTTTTTATTATTATTATTATTATTATTATTATTATTATTATTATTATTATTATTATTATTATTATTATTAATCAACCAGGTATCTCCTTAAAATATAAGATGTTCCGAGTAGCGCAGTTTTTTGTAACATTGCTGGAGTTATTGCAGAAAGCTGCAGTTTCTTGATGTATTTTGCAAAGTTTTTGGACATAGTTCCCAGTGCCCTGATGACAATGGGTACCACTGTTACACATTTCATCCATAATCGCGCAGTTTCGATGGCGAGGTCGCGATATTTTGTAATTTTTTCCAGTTCTTTTTCTTCGACTCTGGCATCTCCTGGTACAGTGATATCAATCAGCTGTACACTTCGGTTCTCTACAACTGTGATATCCGGCGTATTGTGTTCCAAATGGCGATCTGTCTGTATTCGAAAGTCCCACAAGATCTTCACCTCTCATTCTCAACAACATTTTCCACCCTATGTTCCCATGACTTTTCGGACACAGGCAAGTCATATTTTTTACACAATGCCCAGTGGATTAATTTAGCAACTCAGTCATGTATAGATGATGATGATGATGATTATTATTATTATTATTATTATTATTATTTATTCATTAGACATGAACCTCAGTCAACTGAACATTCAAACTGGCTGGTGCTAATGATTGACACGGGTTGCTACCAGCATCCTAGGTGTCAACCAGGTACCTCCTTAAAATATAAGATGTTCCGAGTAGCGCAGTTTTTTGTAACATTGCTGGAGTTATTTCAGGAAGCTGCCGTTTCTTGATGTATTTTGCAAAGTTTTTGGACATAGTTCCAGTGCCCCGATGACAATGGGTTCACTGTTACATGTTTCATCCATAATCGCGCAGTTTCGATGGCCAGGTTGCGATATTCCGTAATTTTTTCCAGTTCTTTTTATTCGACTCTGGCATCTTCTGGTACAGTGATATCAATCAGCTGTACGCTTCAGTTCTCTAGAACTGCGATATCTGACGTGTTGTGTTCCAAACGGCAATCTGTCTCTATTCGAAAGTCCCACAAGATCTTCACCCTCTCATTCTCAACAACTTTTTCCACCCTATGTTTCCACGACTTTTCGGACACAGGCAAGTCGGTGTTTTTACACAATCCCAGTGGATTAATTTAGCAACTCGGTCATGTCTAGCTTTGTAATCAGTTTGCACGATTTTGCTGCACTCACAGATTAGATGTGAAACAGTTTCAACTCTGTCATTGCAAAGTCGGCAATTTGGACTGTCAGTGGATTTTTGTATCTTCGCTTTCATGGCATTAGTCTGTAGTGCTTGTTCTTGAGCAGCCAGTATTAAGCCTTCTGTTTCTTTCTTGATGGTTCCCATCTTAAGCCATGCCCATGTCAAGTTGTTATCACATTTTCCTTCAATGTTTTTCAAATGCTGTCCATGTAAAGCTTTGGTGTTCCATCTATTTAATCTGTCATTCAGCCGTTTTTAAATAGTAGTAATAGTAATAGTAATAGTAATTATTATTATTATTATTACTATTACTATTACTATTATTATTATTATTATTATTATTATTATTATTATTATTATATTGTTGGTGTTGTTGTATGTTTTATATGTTATGACCTGTAATTACAATTAAACTTACTTATTGTACTAATTAGTTTTAGAAGGTTCCTGGTTGCTTTGGAATAACACTGTCAAGTCGAGAATTTAATAATCAATAAAGGAAAGGACAAATATGTTTAATATCAAAACCTAAATGATACAGAGGTTAAATTGTAATCAAATATACTCTTACACCATTATCTATGCACATTGCTTTCTGCTTTATGATGATGGTAATTCAGCATCATAGCTGCAAAACCTGCTGGAAACATTGTAGAAAGTAAATTTTACATATAATAAGGGTAGACAGTTATCTCTTATCTTACATTTAGAAAAGTTGTACATTAATCCCAAATATTCTATGAATCAAATATTAAGATTTTTCAATCCACAGATGGTAGCATTTTATATTTAAACTGAAATTGGCACTGCTGAATGTATTCATTGTTTTAGCTGATTAAGTTTAATTCTATTTATATTTTTTGTATTACGCAGTAAGAACCATGGATTATGAACTATAAAATGCACTTAGAAGATTTGTACAGACTGCTCAATGGATTTTCTAAATGTGCTTTGGCTTTGATACTTACAATTTTTTAACATAAAAAAGTCAAGGTGTTTTGAAGAAAGATGCACTTACCAATACACACATCTATCTTGCCTTTGATTGCAGCTTCATGAAGAGGGGTATAGTTCCAGTTGTCTCTGGCATTTGGTTCTGCTCCTTGACACAGCAAGAGGCTAACTACCTCAGCGTGACCAAAGGAACAGGCATTGTGAAGAGGTATCAGTCCACCATCATCACGAGCATGGACATTAGCTCCTGTCTGTAACAAGTGTTCCACAACGTCCTTTCTTCCAAAACCTAGTGAAAAGAAGTTGAATTAATGCAATATGGCATGCATAAATATTATCACTGTATATGGCATGCAGGAGTGTAACTGTCTAAAATAAAATTTTACCGCATGTATAATTACTCTGCTGCTAATACGCTGCAAATAGTATAGCTCTATTTTGCTGAATTATGCATCCTGAGGTCCAGCTAGATATTATATGTGTACTATGTACAACAGATAAATCATTTATACTTTTTAGAAAATATTTTCATCAGCTGCATAAAATATTTATAATTAAAACATAGTATTCCTTATAATTTCAAAAAAAATAATCCACTTCCTTGGATTTGGACAGTTTCTTTCAAGCTCCCTGAATGATCAGAAAAAAACTTCTATGGGGTAGTAGGAAGGGAATAATGCACTTCCATCTCACTCTCCATTTTCAAGGAAAGAGTGCAAAACTTTTACTGCCAAATTCTTTGAGCAGAATATATATATATTTATTTTAGTTAAATTTCAGCTCTTTGGCTGTCGCTGTTAATTGCTATGAATACTTTATTAGTAGGAAGACAAGTATAAACTGAAATTAAAAAAATGTTTGTGTACATTTAAGTGTCCCATCAGAGACCATTTTTACTGAAATATTAAAGCAACTTTGAAAAAAGTTGTCACAGCGGACATTGTTGACAGAAGTAGCTTGAGACTATGGCAAGTAGCAAAATGAATTATTTGGAAAAACTGGGAAAATAAGTATATATACCTTATACTGATTCAGAAACAAATAAAAGTGTACCATCAAGTAGACATATAAAAATGAACAGAAATTTGGAATTGGAGTAAAAAAAATTTTTTTATTTCTTTTGAATAGTGAAAGTTACATTTTCTGTGCTTCATGAATGTTTGGGTTTTCTACTAATAGCTTATGTAAATTAAAATAATTTAAAAAAAAGATTGTTTCCTTGACCAATTTCCGGTTTATTTTATTCCTTCAGCTGCTTATTCCTACATCTCTGTGGATTAAAGGTTCTGATATCATGGGTTAGAATTACAGTGTAATCCTAAAACAAACTGCGTTTCACACTATTTCACACATCGAAGTCAAAAACACCACTTCACTGCTTGGTATTATGAATCCAACCTAAGTCACGTCACTCCTGAAACTAATATTATTTATTCCTCTAAAGCAGGCATGTCAAACTCGCAATGTCACGTGATGTCGCACTATGTATCATGACGTTTTCCCCATTGCCGGCAATGGGGTGGGCGTGGTTTTGGCGTGATGCATCCGGCCCATGGGCCGGCAGTTTGACATGCCTGCTCTAAAGTAATTTTTAATAAAATAGCACCCCTGACTAGTTTCAGAAAACAATTTGCACATCAATGCCCTATTACTGAACCTATAACTATTTTCCACAGATTGGGTGGAATTTCATATAGATTATTGCAGGTGAGACCTAATCTATATTACATACAAACTGAGAGCATCATTTCCAATGTATTTATTATGTGTTTATGCCTTCCAAGTCAGTTTTTGACTCCTAATGACTGCCTGGACAAGTAAGTACCTGCAATTTTCTCAGAAAGATGTTTTGGAAGTGGTCTGCCATTGCTTCCTTCCTAGGGTTGGAGGAAAGTGATTTTCCCAAGAACACCCAGCTGGCTTTGTGCTTAAAGCAGGACTAGAATTAAATCTCCCAATTTTTATCCTGATGCATTAATCACTACATCAAACTTTTTCTTTTAATGTATCTATGCACACCTACATATTCAGGATAACATATCTATTGATGGGCAAATTACACTACATTACTGGAATAAATACTAGAAACTCCACAAAATTTTTCTGTTACTTTAAAATGCTGACAATCAGAAATATTTAGGATAACAGGAAGGAAGGGAGATGATAGGAATAATTTTAAATATCTGTACCTCATTTTATCTTATGGATCTCAGGAAAGTGCAATTTTAAAAAAAGTGGAGTTTTACCAGTAAAGGGAGAACAGCTGGTTTTGGATCGTCTGCTTTCAAACTTAAAACATCTGTTTTTCATATTTTTGGTCCATACAGAGAAAGAAATGGGCGGGTTTTTTCAGCTATGTACCAAATGTGGTTATGGAAATAACTCTATATTTGTTTCATACTGACCAACATGCCTTCCCAAGAGAATACTGGAAATAGCAGTTTTGGGGGAAAAGTCTATTAAACTATTTGGGGGAAAAGCATGTGATTTATCCTTTAAATCCCTCTTATGGAAACTTTAAAACATTTGCTGTAATTATAAACAGTGCTTCTGAAAGGAGAAAGCCATTATTTCTGTGCATCATTGTTCCTCGCATTTTAAATAACAAAACTAAAAATGCCAGTTATGTAATCATCCAGTCTCTGAGCTTGCTCTTCAAATCAACCATTCAATTCCATAAATAATTGTTTAAGTAAAATTATTCCAAGAATCACACTTTCAAATTCTTTATGCTTTCCCACTATTTTTGCCATTTTTTTCTTGGAATATGAAATTGCAAACAAATTTATTTCTCTGTTACTTCATACCACAGAGACCACTCAACGGGATATTTTTATATGCAATTGATTTTAGCAAGTCTAATTCACGAAACTCTATCCCACACAGCCTTTATTGAGATACCTTATAAAAATTTCTGTCAATGCATCTTCTGCTTAATTATACGTTCACATTACTGTACATGTTATGAAAGCCATAGGCTGAAAAACACAATGTAAAGAGTGAGCCTTAGAAACAACTATCACTAAACTGGGATTAAGATCCTAAGATGCTCAACATCCTTTATTCTTTAAATGAATGCAGTAGTAAGGGATACAGGACTGTTCACCTCTCCAGGAATGATTCCAAGTTAAATAGAGAATCCTTTTCCAAGAACTCCTTATTGTCATCATTAGGAACTATAAATTTCCTCACCAAGTGATCCTATACAGAAATGAGCATTCTCTAGGCAGCATTTCTGGGCCAAACTCTCATACTTTTCTTGGTTCATTCGCCATATTAACACAATGGCTGGATTCACATCGTGGACTAAGCCAAAAATCTAACCAATTAACCATGTTATGGTTTAATACAATGTGCAACCCTACTTTGCTCTCACAGCATAATCTTTCCCACTGTGTTGCTAAGAAAGAAACGACAGGCACTGCAGTTGCTCCTTCAAGGAACAGATACATTCTTTTACTGATTTATCCCTGATTTATCTGTTCTCTTTCCTGAGCCCCCAGAAAGACTGAAAAGGCAAGCCGAAGAAGGCAGGCACAACCTCCTGACATGAACTCAACCACATTCTTCACTGGACAGTACAAGAGGCAGTCTGAGCAGGGCAAGCCCTCCTTCATCCTGCAGCTCAGACAGAGCAGAGGATGTCCCTACACAGGGAACCTAGTAATTCTGCTGCCTTGTGTGCAAGGGTCTTCCTTGCTCCATGCAGGAGATGGAAAGCCTGAAGCCCTTTCTGGATCGGGACGCCCTACGCACAGTCACTCAAGCCCTCGTTGTTTCCCGCCTGGACTATTGCAATGCTCTCTACATGGGGCTCCCCTTGAGGTCCACCCGGAGGCTCCAGCTAGTTCAGAATGCGGCTGCGCGGGGGATTTTGGGGGCCTCTAGATGCTCCCATGTAACACCTCTCCTGCGCGAGCTGCACTGGCTGCCGGTGGCCTTCCGGGTGCGCTTCAAGGTGTTAGTAACAACTTTTAAAGCGCTCCATGGCAATGGACCTAGGTATTTGCAAGACCGCCTCCTACCANGTGCCATCGGCCAGACAATGCCGGCTGGCGACCCCCAGGGGGAGAGCCTTCTCTGTGGCAGCTCCTGCCCTCTGGAATGACCTACCCCCCGACCTACGTACAGTTGCGGACCTGCGCCTTTTTCGCCGAGCCCTGAAGGCCCATCTATTCCGTGCGGCCGGCCTGGCGTAGTTTGGATTGTGTTTCAGTGGGGGGTTTTTTACGGGTGTGTTTTTAGAACAGGCCCGTTATTTAATTCGATTTTAAAACAAACTATTTATTACCGTGGTTTTTAGTATCGCCTGTTCACCGCCCTGAGTCCCGCAAGGGAGATAGGGCGGTATATAAATTTAATAAATAAATAAATAAAATAAATAAATTACTACCACCCCCTTTCTTGTGTCAAGTGGGAGTCGGGGCCATTCGCCCCAGAGGACTTGCACCTGCGAGTAACTATTTCTTCACCTCAGCGGAAGGGTCAGCGGTGGCAAAGTATCGCACCAAACGGCGGGCCTGGTACTACCTTTTGAGCTCCCCCTGGACTCTCTCACCTGCCGCGAAGTGCAAAGGGGTGGATTTCCGCCCGGCCATGTCTTTGGCGTTGACGTTGGTAGCATCCACCAGGCGCCTGACCCGGGTTACGTCCCCATTGCGGCAGGCCTCGAGCAGCTCCCGAAAAGCGCCGCTGCCCACCGACGGAGGGAGCGGCTGCGACGGCGGAGGGGGTGGGTCGGGGCTGTCAGGAGCAGCCGGGCTGGAGGCAGCAGAGGAAGACGAGGACGACGAAGACCCGGAGCTGCTACTGCTGCTGGCGGCGCTGCTAGCCCCGGAGCCTGGCGGCGGCGGAGGCCCGGAGCTTTCGCCGGCGCTCTCTGGGGAAAAAGGCCTCTCCGTTACCGCCGGCCCTTCCCGGCCGCCGCTGGCAGGAGCCTCGCCCTCGAGTCCGGCCAGAGTGGGCCGCTGCTGAGGGGAAGCTCCGGTGGGAGAAAGGCTGGGGCTGCGAGGCGGAGAGACGGGCGTCTGGACGGAGTGATGACTTGGAGGGTGAGGGGGGTGATGATGATGCGGCTGCGAGCGACGCGACGACGATGCCGCCGCCATTTCCCCGCTCGAAGAGCGCTCGGGTCCTGTCACTGCGGCAACGGGGAGGGATTGCCCGCCCTCGCATCCGGCTTCGTGGAGCCAATCATGGGACGGCGGGGAGGGAAGTGACGTAAAGGCAGTGAGATGAGGGAAGACGAGCGGAACTCCTTCCCTAGACCGTCGGGTGTTTGTTTGCTGCAGGGGTAGTCAACCTTGGCTCTTTTATGACTCGTGGACTTCAACTCCCAGAATTCCTGAGCCAGCTTAGCTGGCTCAGGAATTCTGGGAGTTGAAGTCCACGAGTCATAAAAGAGTCAAGGTTGACTACCCCTGGTTTGCTGGATGAGGAGTTGGGCATGAGCGAACTCTTGTATTGGGCAGCGTTCCTGGTTTTTTTCATGGCGTCCTCCATGTAGTTTTGAAGAGAATAGTTTGCCGTTGCTTTCTTCAGGGTTTTTCTTTCCCTAGTCATAGTTCTAATGTGTAGAACCAGATCTTACAATGGTGTTTGTTTTGTAACCCCTTTTGAATTTTCAATATTTCTGCATAAATATGACTGAAAACGTGATCTGTTCTCCGCCCAAGTCCTAAAACTAGATTTAGAAAAAAAAACCAGTTGAACAAAGGAGTTCAAAACACTACACTTGTTTATTGGTTCATTGAGGAAAATAATCCCAAACTACAAAAAATTGTGGATTTTGAGGCCAGGCAAGAAGGTTTATTGTATCTCAAAAGTGTCATGGCAATTAGATTTAGCATCTTCAGTGCTACAGGCACGGTTTGACAGTGTTTTATTATTTAATAAATTCATTTAAAATATGTTTAAAGAATCCATTCTCATGTCTAAAGAAAAAGCGTTTGCCTTTACTAAAACCTCGAAGTCTGCTTATATAATTGCTACAGTGAAATGTTACATCTCAAACTATGAGGCATTCACAATTGGTTCAGTATTTGGGCAGATAGTACCTTAGTCTTAAGAGGACTCAAAAGAGACTAGGGAAGAAAACTGTCTGAAATATTTTTTGTCTAGAAAAACGCCTTAAAATATCTTACAGACTGCGTGCCTTATTAAGAAATAAATGGTGTTTAGTTGTAGTTACTCCTAAGTAAATGAGAGAGACCTTGTCACGATTGTAAATTACTGAAATAACCACAAGGTGGCAAACTTGCTGCATTTTTGAAATAAGATTATTCACCTGTATTCTTAAGTCTTTTCTGCTATTAAATATCACTGTAGGATTTAGAAACATATTAAAAAAATCCTGCAGAATTAGAACAAAGGCCTATTTAATCCAACATACGGTGTCCTTCCCTGACTAACCAAATAAATTAAGGAACTTCACAAATAAGGGCAAGAGGATGATACCTCTTTTTCTACTGTGGCAGCCTTAAAACTGTTTTTCTGGTATGCTTCTTGTTATTCTGGTTCCTAATGATTTCATTTACACATCCATGCAGTTTTCTTGGCAACAGTACCCAAGTAATTTATCATTGCCTCCTAAGATTCTTTTCAATTTCTCAGTCCATCCAAGGTGTTATCAGTGACAGAGTTGCTAAACTGTTTCTCTTAAAATCAGTTTTCCAAACCAACTTTCTCAATCTATTTGACAATTTGCATATCTGCAACCCCTCCATTTTTCAAATCACATCAGTCATATAAACTGAACTGATCTGGTTCTTTGAAGCCAACATTTGGATTAAATCAACACAATTTTCTAAATTGAATTAATTCAAATTGGATCAGATATGTTTCACATCAGTTTAATAAATAATCATCAAAACTACGGTAGTAGAGGCCAATAGCTAAATCCTCTACAAATTTGTCTAGTTTCCCTGTAAAAATATGTAACTCGGGGTCCATCACCATGGTTGTCCAGAAGAGGGCAGTTACAGAAAGTACATGGAAATAACTTTTTAAAAAGAACTTATCTTTAAGGCATTCTAACAGTTGAAATGCAGGACAAAAACACACAATTTCTTTTTCTCTACTTTTGTTTATAAGAAATATTTGTTCCTGAACTTTGGTTTTTTAACTCCTAATTCATTTCTTTTTAAATCTGTATTTGTGAGAAGGGATTATTGTCTCTGAAAAAAAATAATTTAGGAATTAAAGGTGTAGTTATTGCTGGAATCAAGCAGCAGTGTGCCTATCTGCTAATCAGTCTTCTAGTAATTAGAATTACATTAACCAGTCTTCTAGTAATTAGAATTACAGTAATTGTAGACTATGCTTCCCAGACCTAACATAAGTAGAAATTTTTGAAAAACTTAGAACAAAATAAAATTACTTTTGAATTTATCTTGACTCCTAAGAATTATATAGACCAGTGGTTCTCAACCTGTGGGTCGGGACCCCATTTGGGGTTGATCGACCATTTCATGGGGGTCGCCAAGCAAGGCTGTCCGCCATTTTTTTTGTCCGCCATTTTTTCCCCCTTTTCTGGCGGGTGCCTTACCTCCCTTGGGCTGGGCCAGCTGGTGGTCGGCCTGCTCCGTCTCTGCCGCTTGGCAGCTACGCCTCGGCCGGCGCAGGGGGCAGAACCACGCATGCGCGGCGCTCCCGGGCAGGGAAAGTCCTCGGCTTAGGACCGGTTGGGTAGTCCTCAACTTACGACCGGTTTAGTCCTCGACTTACGACCGGTTTAGTCCTCGACTTACGACCGGTTGGGGTCGCGGCATTAAAAAGGTTGAGAACCACTGATATAGACCCATCCATGTTGGATTTTGATCTTTGTTTTTTTTGGCAAATCTTTGGATCAGGGTTTTCAAAGAAACTCTTTGTCTACTTCCCAATAGAAGATGTAACATCCGTCCCAGATACTTTAATTGAAGGTGCAATTAATTGTAAGGTGTATGCCAATCCTATACAACCAGTATGTAGACAACTCCCTGATGTTTCCAGTCCTGCTGACCTCCAGATGCTAAAACCAAGCAGCCAATCAGTTCTCCTTTCAGCTGGCCAACAGATGAGCTTGCATTCTGCTGCTCACAGATATACATGCACTAATAAACGGTTAATATGCTCCATCCATGTTTTCAGTACATTTATGTTGTATATATTTCATAATTTTGCAAGAGCAAAATCAAACAACAATGACAAGAAGCCCATCCTGCTATAAAAGGACCATTCTTACTGATACGATTTTTAAAAACCCTGCAAACTGTAATGATGAAAAGATAGCAAGGGCATATTTCACAAAACCTGAAGAGGGAGGAAGAGAATTCTGAGGATGGAGATGTGGAGAACAAAATTAAGCACTATGCTTAATACTGGGGAAAATCAAGCTAGGCAAGTTTTTTATAGGCAGAGGCATTCACAGCTAGTCATGAACTTGCCAAAATTACAAACATGTCACGATGTTATGATGCAAGCTCTGCTCCTAATGTATTCACATACTGTAAGTTGTTACAACACAAGGCCAAAGTTTGCATCATGAACTATGTTATTATTTTGCAGCATTCCCCTCCCCACCACAATTCCACTTATTTATAAAGACAGTGAAAATAAGTACCCCTTGAATAAAAGGATTTAAATCTTGTTCACTAATAAGGGTGCTTATATAGCTTCTCTAGCTTAGATTAAAATAGATCTTAAGCAAGAGTTTACTTGTGTCTCAGTAGCTGGGAACTACAGTGTGGCAAAGGAAAAATCAGTAAAGGAAACACTTCAAAGTGTTATTGAAGGGAGAAAAAGTATTCTAGTTTGCTCTACCATGCTTTCAAATAAACAAGAAAAAACAAGACAAAAATAAGTTCAGGGTGGTAATTATAGGAAGGTTCATAGTTAACTGGGAACAGGGCAGAGTGTGCATTTGACAAAGCAAATGGCTGTTTAATTTCTGGAACACACTGTTCAGATTCCAAATATATTTGTTAGATTTACGTTCTGCCTTTTCTTCAAGAGGTCACAGAACATATGTTCTTCTGATACTGCTGCACTTCAACAATCAATTTCTCCCAACCCCATTTGTAACTGATCTGTTGTAGAACTACAGTTTCCACACTCTGTTGTTTCAAAGCTATAATACTATCAGTTATATTCGGGGAACAATGATAGGAGAATATATACTTTCCTTGCATAAGCTGTGGATATCAAACCAGGAAGATTGCTATTGTGAAACTGAGTAAGAAATAAAAAAAACACTGGCTAGTGAAAGTTTTCAGGAAAAATCAGATTGTGAAATTCATTAGAAAATGGATGGAATACCAAGGAAATGAGAAAAAAAATACCTGTGATTATTATATTCCATAAGGGTGAATGGACAGGAAGAGATTGATTTTTCACTGATTTCTTTAAAAAAAAATCAAACAGATGAAGAGGAACAAAAGAATCATAAATTACACCTTTGTACATTAATTGATTGAAATTTAAATTAAAAAATCTTCACTCAAAAAGAGCCTGCAGCATTTATGCTAATAGACTTTCTAGCATTTCCTGCTCTGTTTAGTGGTTCCTCTTCTTGGTCATGTTCTAAAACAGGTCAAGTGCCTACATTTGTATTTTGGAGAGTTACCTCAACTCACTGGTATAGATCCTTACCAGGAAAAGAACAAAGTTATGATAGCAATATGAAAAAACCTACAGATATTAATCATTGAAACTATACAGTACTTAGTCTATAGCAATATTTGCACTGTACCTCCTCTGCGTTATGTTGCACTTTTTGAAATTTGTTTCAATTTACCTCCACTGACTACTCATAAGCAATGAGCTCTTTTTGAACCCTATCTCACACTCTCCATTAAAATGTAAAGGAAGGTACTAAACCTATAGCAGTGATGGCAAACCTTTTAGAGACCGAGTGCCCAAAAACCGGCCCGCCCCCACTCCTCCCGCCCGCTCCCGCCCTGCTCCCTCACCCGCCCACCCTCAAGGCCATCCACAGCACGCCACAGATCGCCCAGGCGGCCCTGCAGCGCCATGGTGGCCACACCCTCCACCCGCACCCCGCAGCAGCATCTGCTGCCCAGCTGCCATGTGCTTGGCTGTGCAGCTCTGCACGGGCCGCATCCGGGGA